TCTAAAGGGTCTTTCAGGACTGGTATGATTCATGAGCATGCATTAGTCTAGTAGGCCTTATATTTTTTGGCATAGAAAAGTCTGAGTAGTTTCTATTTAGTTAAGATTTTTTACCCCAATTTGTTAACGAATTGGTGTTTAGATTCCAGTTCGTAAAGTTTGGGATCTATGATGCACAAAAAGCACGATCGACTTATTATTTACCTTTTATTGGGAGTTCTCACTCATTATCAGAACATTTTTTTGTTACCCTAGCCCTCTGTATTTGTGTCTTTGTGTCTTTGTGCTACACCTCAGTGGATATGAATTGGTTTTTTCTATTTCTCGCAGGCTACATCATCAAACACAAAATCTACTAACGCACGAACTAAGTCGATGAGTCAAGGGAGTGGAGCTACAGGAAGATCACACTTGGTCACAGCAGCAAATAACAAGACCTTATCTGCTTCTAATATACCTCAATCCACAGGGGAAGTATATAAGCCTAGAGTTGAGTGTTCTCAAGTTGGATTCGTCTCAACTTCACCAGATGACAATCACAGCCACGCTAAAATTGCGACACAAAATCTGGTTACAGGTAAGAAAGATCGAGAGAAAGGTGACAGTAATTTGCAGAAAAACCATATACTAGAGAGTAGTAAAGTTAGGAAAGACCGTAAGGTTGATGGGAGGCCAAAAGTGGGAGCCTACAGAAATAGCAGTGAGATGGTTAGGAAGAACATGAAAGGTGGTGGTATCACCAGTGATTCCAGCATAGGTCATTTGGCAATGGTAACTTCCTAAACCAATCCTCAGTATTGGTACTCTCTTTTAACCCATTCATTTCAAATTTGGCCAAGGTGGTCATGGTCATGCATTGCACACATTGAATGAAACTGCAACACGAGTGACAAATGCGCACATTGATGCACAGCAGCAGAGAAATGACATGGTTGTGGTAGGCTTTTCTTCTGTAGTAACATTCCTTGCAACCAGTGTTGTAACTTCGGAAGTTTTGTATATGCAGCTGGTAATGTTAGCTTAGCTAGAATATATAATAATTGTCCCTCTGTTTTGTTGCTAGTGTAGAAAATTTCTTAACCTCCTGGCCACTTTGATTGCTAGAGGCACACAAAAATTTTTAACTTACGAGTTATTTAACATAATTTTATGATTTAATTCTAAGAGCATATATATAGTGATTTTTTCTTGCTCATTGCCTTTTCTTGTTTATTTTGATTTTTCCTGCTGCAACGATAAAATATATTCTGTTGTGCAAATTGTCTTCAAGGGAGTGCTTTGTTATGAAAAATTATTGATATACACTTAATTTAATAACATTCGTTTTAATTTAATTATTAAAATATAATATAAATATGATTAATTCAGTTAATTTTTACATTTTATATATAAGATTATATTTTAAATTTATTTATTTTTAATTTTAAATTAAAAAAAATAATTTTGATAAAATATATTCTGTTGTGCAAATTGTCTTCAAGGGAGTGCTTTGTTATGAAAAATTATTGATATACACTTAATTTAATAACATTCGTTTTA